CCTCTATGAGGTGGATTGATTCAGTGACTGGGATAATCGGGATGGGAGTGTCAGAGACAGTGCGATTGGCACAGGACAGAGCAGAGTTTAGGGCTGTTGTCCATAGATAGGGTCGCTATGAGTCACAAGCGACTCGACGGCACATAACCACAACAACAACAAGTTCAGAGCCCTATTTTGAAACCATCAGTGTGAGACCAAAAAGATAATAATTACTCAAAACCACACATGAGAAGACAAGGGGCAGAAATCTAGGGTCCCTGGAAGACAAGGAAAGAGAATATTGACACACTGTGATAAATAGAAATAGAATTGATGTCACTGAACAATTTGTGTGGAAACCATCAAATGGGAACTAATTTACTGTGTAAACTTGCACAGGAAACTCAATAAAAACATTATTGAAAAGAAAAGAGAGAGAGAAAAAAATCTCATGGGCTCTCATGATTCAAGTGCAGCCGGTCAGGAGGCTGGCTCAGGACAGGGTGATGTGTTGGCTCATATGTGTGATCCACGGGCCAGGGACCATCGTGGTGGGAACATGCAACAGTGGTGGGAGTCCTCAGACACCAGTTCCAGGAAATTCTGAGCTTAATGCCCACAAGTACATGGTACATTTGTTTTCCCTGAGTTGTTTGTTTCATTGTGTGCTTTTAGACATCTGCAATTACTCTTGGTAATAAAAACAATATGAACTCAGTTGTGGAAAATAGAGAAAAGCACAAAAAGCAAGACAGGATCTACCTATAAGACCACAATTTTAGAGACAACCACTACTAACATCTTGAAGTATTATTTCTCCTCCTCTTTTGATTCCTGTGAGCACACATGATCATACTGAACAGATCTCTACTTCTTGTTTACTTTATTTAACAACTGGTGGTCATTTCTTGAAGCACAGTGGGTGTGTTTATCCTACCTTGGTTTTAATGGTTGTGTAATATCCTACCTTGAGGGTGGACCAGATCCTCACCCATTCCATGATGTGAGCGGAGTCCACACAACATAGCAGGCTTTTGTATGGAAAGTCCCTCCAGAGGTGAGGGCCTCACTCACCTCCTCATTTTCTATCTTGAGTGTGGCCAGTCTGGACTGCAGTTGGTGGTACCGCATTAACAATTCCGTCTGGACGGGCTGCTGAGCACTGACTTGGCACACCTGCAAAAACGACAGCCACCACCTGTGGTTACCTGCCGCTCTCACCCACCTGTGGAGAGCCAGGACAGGCACTAGCTTGCATATTCCTACCCACAGGTGAGGCTGAGTGACCCAGCCCAGTTCACACAGATGTGGTAAAGCAGGTGGAAACAAGGTTCTTTCTACCCCCCCAAAACATCATCTCACTGTTACAATGGTCACTCCTCCATCCTGATTTACATTGGTGTGCAGCACTTGAGGGTTTTCTAGGAGCTTACTAGAATCTCGTCTAGGGAAACCAGTTTGTTCATTTTGAGAAAGGAAACCCTGTCAAGAAAGCAAATGTCTGAAGGAAGCTAAGGGAAAGGTAGGAGGATGAGGAAAAATCAGTTAGGAGTTTCTAGATCAGGCAGGGAGATGCTTCAGAGTCACTGGTCAAAAAGTGTGCACTCCCATGCATTACCACATTGGTTGATGGGGTGAGGGGTGGAGGAGAGAAAAAAAAAATCCAAACGGAATACTGTTTCTCCAGCCTCAAAACTATTTCATCCAAGACTCTTTTGCCACCTGTGGCCTGAATCTGTTTGCCTGATTTCAGTCCCCCATTTTTCCTAGAATACAGCTGAGATTTTTCAGAGACAAGAGGGTTTCATCACTGATGGCAGTTATTTACTATTAAGTAGGCAAACAGGCCAGGCCATGGTCTTCTCAATTGTTTACTGTGCATCTTAGAGTTGTATAATGACTAAGGATAACAGAATAAGAATTGATGTCTTTGAGTTGTGATGCAGAAAAAAGTAATTAACTGACATGAACTGTCAAAAGATCAAAATAGATTTGACCTGGAGAGGGTGAAACCAGTTTGCTCTTTAGAAACAAAGATTTTGAAGCTCATTCTCATATACTTTGGACATGTGGCCAGGAGGGACCAGTACTTGGAGAAGGACATCACGGTTTGAAGGGTAGAGGGTCAGTGCCAAAGAGGAAGACCCTGGATGAGATGGACTGACAGTGACTGTGGTGATGGGTCAGGAGTGTCTGAGATGATGCTATTTTCATAGGGTCTCTATGAGTCATAGTAATTTGATAGCACATACAACAACAGGCAACAGGGTGTTGAAAATATTTAATGTTCTCCACTACTAAAAAAAGGCTGAAGGTTTGAGTCTATCCAGAAGGGTCTTGGAATAAAGTTGGCAATCTTCTGAAAGATTAGCCATTGTAAATTCTATGGCACAGAGCTCCACTCTGACACACTTGGGGTTTCCAGAAGTTGAGACAAACTTGACAGCAATTGTCAGAATGTTCAGGTCCAGATGATGATCTAGAAGTGATAAACAGGAAGGCAAAAATGATGGGTTGGTCAGAAGTAGTGAGAAGGAGACCTCCCTTTTGCAAATGAAAAGCAGATAGAGTCAACTGAGGAACACAGCAAGTACAATCTACTAGTAACTCAGTTCATCCCAAGAAACCCTGTATGTTGGAGTGTTTGTTCAGATCCTTGTGATATCCTGGAAAAACAAAGGGTAGAGGGCATTTGGCCATTAGCCCCAAAGTAACACATGCAAGTTCACTAGGAAGAAAGGTCCAATGATTTATATTTGATAATAAGTCAATGAAAATCTCAAGGATCACAATGGAATATTGTTTGCTATGATAAGGAGCTCAACTGTGGCCTCCACTACACTAGTGTGATTAAAGTCTGACAGACAAACCTTCTAGACAGGAAAGCCCTCAAAATACAAAGTGGCTACAATGCAAGCACACAACAGTTGTAAAGATGGCACATGGAAGAGCAGCGCTTTCTTCTGCTGTACTGGGGGTCTCTGTGAGTTGGCATAAACTTCATAGCAGCTGACAAGAACAAGGCCCTGCAATTCTGCAGGTGGAGGATTTGAGCTTGCAAGGTTAGCATGAAGATTAAGAGTGAACTCTTTGGCTAGGGAAGCCCAAAGACTGAACAGAATCCCAGGCATCTGGATAGACATCCTGCATCTGGTACCAGGGCTGGGGTTCTCTGTCACCTTGTGTTCCAGAATCACATTGAAGGGCAGGAGCAGCTGTAACACAGGGTGCTGGGAGAAGCATACCTCATCCCCCATGTGGGGCTGGAACTCAAACTTGAGCGGTGGGCAGAAGACCTGGTTATACATGTCCATGACTGTGTGCTTGTCGCTTCTGGAGTCCAGGTTGTCCACTGCATTCTCAATGACATCCAGACCCTCATGGCGTGAGGTCTCCAGGTTGTATTCAGCTGAGAGGTAGGTCCGGAAGGTGCGGGCCAGGCTGGCATGAAAGCCCAAGTCACAACACTTAGAAAGACAGAGAGAAAGGAGGTGAAGCACAGTGTAGAGACAGAGACTGCCAAGACCACTGTGTCAATCCCAGTGTGTTATGATCACTCCTGCCCAATTCCACAGGCAGAGGCCCTGGGGCACTCTGCACAAACAACATGAATCACCTCAGAGCCTTATATGGACCTGGAGATTCTGACGTGTGTATTTTCTGGTCCCTGAAGTCCACCACACCTTCTCCTTGGGTTCCATAAGCACCTACCTCTGCCTGGAATGTTCCCTCTTTTCTTGCCTCAAATGCTCTTTCTTTCAGGTTTCAGTATAGGGATCACCGCTTCTGGGAAGCCTTCCTCCGTGTTCTTCTTACTCAAAGTCATGGCTGGGTACCCCTCTACCTCTCACTCTGATACTTCTGACTGTACTGTAATTGCCTGTCAATGTATGCCCTTGAGTATCGGCCCCATGAGGCCAGAGATGTCCATTCTTGTCACTTCTACCTTCTAGCACCCAGTTCTAGTCCCAGTGATCAACAAATATTTGGCAAACGAATGAATGGAAGGACTTGAAATTGAAAAGGAAAGCAAAAATACAGGAAGGAGGCATTTAGAGGGCAGGCCAGGGCAGCTTCCTGTACCTTAAGATGGTGAGGGGGCTCCCACTGCAGTGATGGGGAAGGCAGTGACTTTCTGACATCCCCACAGGGTGCCTCAGGGTCAGAGGACAAAGGTCCAATAATCACGACTAAGCCTTTGGGTTTTTTAAAATCATATATTTTTAAAATTAATTTTAATGAACGTTTACAGAGACTTAGGGTTTCCATTCATTCATTGTTGCACTTTTCTCCCTGTCCACCCCATCCCTCCCAATTTGCTCTTCTCTTCGAAAAGTAAAATTCTTTAATTGTTATACAATCCTTCCCCCCAAGTCCACACACACTATTAAGCCTTTGTTGACAATCGACTGAGGCAGATCCCTGTCTGCCTGGAAGGGGAGATGAGAAATAGTCCTGAGTCCAATCCAGAGGACACAGAAGCTAAGCCCAAGCTAAGCTCAGTGTTTTCCCTGCGTGTCTGCTCTTGAGTGTATTATGTGAAAGGAGGAGTGTCAGTGTCTCTCCTCCTACTTGTCAAACGGTCCAATTCCTCCACGGATGTAAAGCTATTCTTGATGTAAGGACAATCTGTAGAATTCTGTCTAATTCACTAATTGCTTTCATGCAGCCATGTGTGTGTGTGTGTGTGTATGCAGCTAGATGACTGGATATGGAATGGACAGATATGAACAGCCAAACATCTCTTTTATCACACTGGGAAATCCCCTAAGGGCATCCATTGTGTTTTATCTCTGTATCCACAGAAATCTAAGGAAGGGTCTGGTGTTAGGAAGGACTTAGGTAGTGCATGCTGAAGATACAAATGTCTGACTTAAGCATGCAGAGCACCACAGAGCTCTCCCTCGCCTCTAAATTCCTCCATGTAGTAAAACCATAAGGTAAGACTGATCTCCAGGCTCCAAACCCTCACTGCTGTTCCCTCCCAGCAGGACTGTTCCAGAATGGAGACGTCTAGGAAACCCAGGGACAAAACTCAGCTCCTCCTTCAGTCCTTGAGTTTCCAGGCCACTCACGTCAATTAGATCTGAGACATCATGGATGTAGTATTTGCTTATAGCTGCATTGGTGGCTGCCAGATTCAGCAAGTAGTCATTCCGGGCCTTCGTGCATTTCAGCTTGTTCTCAGAATACTTTGCCTGCCTCTGGAAGAAGAAAAGAGATGTACGAGCTAAGCCATTGACACAAAGGAGTTGTGACTTCTTTTATGATGATTGCTTGTGAATCAACCCCATGCACACCGGGAATGCCTCCCAGTGCTAGGCAAGTACAATTTAGACCTTATTCTAAAAAAAAGCTCAGCTTACATTACACTGGACTGATAGGTAACATCATGATGGATGGAGGAAAGACTGAAACTGTCACTGATGTCACCTTACTTGGATCCACAATCAATACACCTGGTGCCAGCAGTCAGGAGATGAGGAGAGATATTATACTGAGAAGATCTGAAGTCAGAGATCTCCCTCAAATTATTGAGGAGTGATGATATTAGTTTGAAGACTAAGTTATGCTTGATTCAATCCACAGTCTTTATAATCACTTGCTATGCTTCTGAGAGCTGGTCAAATTAATAAAGATAACAGGAGAAGAACTGATGTCTCTAGACAAAGATTCTCACTACTGGACCAATTGGCAGCATCAGGATGGCTGGTGAAGAGATTGAGATTGTTAACTACTAGTCGGCTTGGCTCCATGGTCAACACTCTTGGCACCAGCAGCCAGGAAATTAAAAAAAATGTATTGTGATGGGAAAGTCTGCTGTCAGGGACCTCTCCAGGGTACTGAAGAGCAATGGTGTCTCTCTGGAGACTAGGGTGTGTCTGATACAGGCTATGGTCTTTGTAATCACTTGTTATGCATCAGAGAGTTGGACAATGACTAGGGAGGACAGAAGGAGAATTGACGCCTTTGAGCTGTGGTGCTGGAGAAGAATATTGAATATACCATCGACTGTCAAGAAAACAAACAGATTCATCCTGAAGAGGATTAAACAAGGCTGCTCCTTGGAGGCAAGTATTCTGGGGCTTTGTCTGACATACTTTGGACATGTTGTAAGGAGGGACCGGTCCTTGGAGAGAGACATCATGCTTGGGAGGGTGGAGGGGCGGCGTAGGAGGGGAAGACCCTCTATGAGGTGGATTGATTCAGTGACTGGGGTAATTGGGATGGGTGTGTCAGAGGCAGTGCAATTGGCACAGGATAGAGCAGGGTTTAGGGCTGTTGTACATAGGGTCACTATGAGTCGCAAGCGACTCGACGGCACATAACAACAGCAAATTTGTGGTCGTTGGAGAAGAATACTGAATATCCCATGGACTGTCAAAAGAACAAACTGATACATCTTAGAGAAAATGCAGTCAGAGTGCTCCTTGGTGGCAAAGATGATAAAACTTCATCTCACATATTTTGGGCATATTGCTAGGAGAGGCTATTCCTTTCAAAGGGACATCATGCTTTGGAAGGTGGAGGGACAGCAAAAGAGAGGCCCTCAATGAGATGGACTGAGACAGTGACTGCAGTAATGGTCTCAAGTATGTCAGAGACGATGAGGATGGCACGGGACAGGACAGAATTCAGCTCTGTTGTTCAGAGGATCCATATGAGTATAGTCAACTTTCTATGTTTATTGTTATAAATTGATCTCTGAGTAACGCTTTTGCTGTTCCAAAGATCCGGCTATGTTTTATTTTCTAAAAAAACCTTTTAATTACTCCCCCCCCTCTAGTTCTCCTCTCCTTGCTGTTGATTTCTTTATAGCTTTGGGAACTAAGAAGATGTTTTGTGGTATTTTGATGTTATATAATCTAGAGGCTTGTTTTGTGGTTTAACATACAGTCTATTCAAGAGAGTGTTCTATGTGCACTAGAGAAGAATACATATTTTACTTTTGTTGGGTGAAATGTTCTAGATATGTCAATGAGATCTAGTAAATTACACATATTGCTTAGTACTTTTGTATTATTATTTATTTAAAGAATTTTCTTTCTAGTCATTCTGTCCTTCATTAAAGGTAGTATAATGATGGTGGTATAACGAAGTCTCTTACGATCATTCTGAAGTAGTCTATTTCTCTCTTCAAATCTGTTAACATTTGATTTATGCATCTGATTGCCATTTGCTTGATATATTTTCTCCCCTTTGATTTTAAGCCTCTTTCTCCTTGTGTCTAAGATGTGCCTCTTGTAGACAGAATATCATGTAGATGAGCCTTGTTTTCTTATCCACTCTGCCACTCTTCTCTTGACTGCTTACATTTAATTCACTCACATTTAGTGTGATTATTGATAGATATGGGTCTATTACTGTAATTTTGTTGCATTCTGTTTTGTGATGTTGCTGGTATCTTTGTTCCACCTGCTTTTCTGTGCTGATTTAATTTTGCTGATAGCTTTTCTTATAACTTTATTTATTGATATTGTTTTGATTTTACTTAGTCTTTATGGTTTTCCTTTTGATAAGAAAGGTTACTAATTTTCTTGGAGGTTATCCTATAAATTTCTATTTTATTCCCAAGTCTACTTTATCTTGAAATCTCCTTTTACCCCTCTCTAGTTAGAAGGTTTGTAGCTAGATTTATTATTCTCTTTTTGCATTGCAATTGTCCTTATTTATGTGGACAATGCTAGTTATTTAAGCCTCTTGTTTTAGAGTCTACAAGACCTCGTGGAGGGCCCTTATATTTACAAATTGGTTGAGCTGTTGGGTCTGTAGTTCTCAGGCCTAATGTTATTATATTTTGGAGGACCATTCTTCTAAGATGTACAGCACTCTTCTGTAAATTTGCTGTACTGAGGCAATCTTTGTGCCATTGGGGAGTTAAATGCCATAACGGCTGCCCATCATGGACAGTGTTTGGTAGAGCTCCCAGTTTAAAACAAGTTTGGAAGCAGGAGTGGCATCCACTTCCTAAACCATATGCCCCTGGAAACTCTATGAACTTGGAGAAAGGACGGTAGTTATAGAAAGGTTTCAGATCTTTGGTTCATAGGGTCTCTGAGTAATTTTCAATTTGACGGCAATCAACAAAAACATACTTAATATCCATTTTGATTTTTTCTTTCTCCTCCGTTTTTATAATGACCTTTTGTTTTCTTCATGGATAATATCCTTGATATCATCCCACAACTCATTTGGTCTTTGATCATTGGCATTCAATGCCTTAAACCTATTCTTAAGATGATCATGAAATTCAGATAGAATTGATTCAAGATCATATCTTGGTTCCTGTGGGCTTATTTTAATTTTCTTCAGCCTTAATGTGTGTGTGTGTGTGTGTGTGTGTGTGTGTGTGTGTGTGTGTGTGTGTGTACCATCAAATCGGATCTGACTGGTAGAGAAGGAGATTGTCCCTCCTTCTCCAGCAGAGCATCTGGTGGATCCAAACCATGTACCTCTGGGATTGCAGTGCAGCTTCTTTCCATTAGGCCACCAAAGCTTTCCTTCAGCCTCAATTTGAACTTACACATGAGTCTGCCCCTGGCCTAGTTTTGACTGCTGATATTGAGCTTCTCCAATGACTTCTTCGATAAATGTAGTCAATATGTCTATGCAGCCCATCAGGTGAGATACATCTGTAAACTCATCATTTGTGTCTTTAAAAAAAAAGTATTTGTAATGAAGAAATCATTGTAAATACAAAATTCAATCATTCCATTTCCAGCCTCATTTCTATCACCAAGCCTGACTATACTGTTTCCTTCTTCACTGTTTCCTACTTTTGCATTCCAGTCACCAATTATCGTTAACACATTCTGAGTCAATTTCAGACTGCAAGCTTTGGTAAAAATTCTCAATTTCTTCCTCTTTGATTCTAGATGTAGGAGTGTATTTTGAATAATAGTCATGTTCACAGGTCTTCCTTGTATGCTTATGGATATTTTCCTATCACTCACCACATTGTATTTCAGGGCAGAACTTGAAATTGACTTTTTGACTATGACTTTTTGACTATGATTGCAACTGGAATGTTGAGAAGTCAAAATGAAAGAAAAACATGTTGAAGTGAAAGAGCTGAACAGATGATTTCAAAGGGAAGCTCAGGAGGAAAAATCAAAGTATTATAATGGAATGTGCAGAGAGCTGGAATTGGAGAATAGAAAGAGGAAAAACCTCGTTCTGCATATCTCAAGCTGAAAGAACTGAAAAACAAATTTAAGCCTTATGTTGAAATATTGAAAGATGCTACGGGCAATATATTGAATGACCCAAAACGCATCAAAAGAAGATGGAAGGAATACATGGAGTTACTGTGCCAGAAAGAATTGATTGACACTGAAAAATTCAAGAAGTACCATAAGACCAGAAGCAAATGGTAATTAAGGAGGAAGTAGAAGCTGTATTGAAGGCATTGGCAGAAAATAAGGCCCTAGGAATTGATGTGATACCATCTGAATTTTTAAATTAACAGATGCAGACTCGAATGCGCTCACCAGTCTATGCCAGGAAATTTTTGAGGACAGCTGTCTGGCCAACGGATTGGAAGAGGTCCATATTTGTTCCCATTCCCAAGAAAGGTGATCCAACTGATTGTGGAAACTACTGAACAATATTGTTGAAATCACATGGAAGCAAAATACTGCTAAAGATCATTTAAAAAAATGGCTGGAACAATACATAGATAGGAAAATGTCAGAAGTTCAATCAGGATTTAGAAGAGGCCGTGGCACCAAGGATATCATTGCTGATGTTAGATGGATCCTGGTTAGAAGTAAGGAATATCAGAAGAATGTATAGTTGTGCTTTATTGACTATGCAAAGGCATTTGACTCTGTGGACCATAACAAGTTGTGGCTAACATTCAGAAGAATGGGAATCCCAGAGCACTTAATTGTGCTCATGAGGAACCTACATCTGGACCAGAAGGTGGTTGTGCAAATGGAGGAGGGGAGCACTGCATGGTTTGGAATTGGGAAAGGAGTGTGCAAGGGTTGTATTCTCTCTTCATACTTATTCAATCTGTATTCTGAGCAAATTATCCAAGAAGCTGGACACTATGAAGAGGAGTATGGCATTAGGATTGAAGGAAGACTCATCAATAACATGTGTTATGCAGATGACACATGCTTGCTTGCTGAAAGTGAGGAGAACTTGAAGCCCTTCTTGCAGCAGATCAAGGAATGCAGCCTGTAGTATGAATTTCATC